CCTTGGCCTTGCCGGTGCTCTGCAGGACGCGCACCAAAGCTCCGGCCAGCTCCTCCTTGTGCCGCGCGGCGATGGCCGGCTCCAGGCGGCCGCACAGCTCCCGGTAGTGGAAGGTGATGAACTCCGCCAACTCCTTGTAGCTCACGATGGGCAACACCCTCACCTGGCGGTAACGCCCGCGTAGCCGCACCGCCGGCGCCCGCTCGCCGCCACCGCCGCCGCTCAGGGGGTACCAACGCTCCAGGGGCTGCCCCGCCGCCGCCAGCTCGGCCAGCGGGATGGTGACGGCGGCCACCGGCTGCCAGCCGGGGTGGTCGTCACGGCACAGGGAGACGGTGAGGGCGCGCGCCGGCGGCAGCGCGGCCAAGTGGAAGAGCTCGCCCCAGAAGAGTTGGCCGTCAGCGCCGGCCGGCTTGGCCGTGGTGCGGGCGAAGACGGCGCCATCCAGGTGGAGGTGGCAGCGCAGGCGGCGCCGCGCCGGGAGGTCGCGACCCTCGTAGACCCAAAGGGTCAGGGAGAGCTCCAGGCGCTCGCAGTTGTCCTGTGGGGACAAGGGACAAGGGACAAGGGACAAGGCGACAAGGGGGCAAGGGACAAGGGACAAAAGGACAAGGGACAAAAGGATAAGGGGACAAGGGATAATGGGACAAGAGGACAAGGGACAAGGGGACGAGGGACAAGGGGACCAGGGACAAGGGACAAGGGACAAGGGGACGAGGGACAAAAGGATAAGGGGACAAGGGATAATGGGATAATGGGACAAGGGGACAAGGGACAAGAGGACGAGGGACAAGGGGCAAGGGGACAAGGGACAAGGAGACAGGGGGGTATAGGGACAAGGGGACAAGGGACAAAAGGACAAGGGGATAATGGAGATGTGGGTGGGGGTCATGGGGATATGGGGGCAAGGAGACAAGGGGACAAGGGACAAAAGGACAAGGGACAAGGGACAATGGGATAATGGGACAAAGGACAAGGGGAGAAAGGGGACAAGGGGACAAGGGACAAGGGACAAGGGGACAAGGCGACAATGGGACAATGGGACAAGGGGACAAGGGACAATGGGATAATAGGACAAGGGGACAAAGGGGACAATGGGACAAGGGAACAAGGGGACAATGGACACGGGACAAGGGGACAAAGGATGCTCCATGCTTGGCAGCTCGTGCCTCAGTTTCCCCACCCAGCCCAAGCACAGGATAGCACGATGAGGGGGCTGGGGGTGGCAGGATGTCCCCGAGGCGTCCCCAAATTGTCCCCAGGGTGTCCCCAGGGTGTCCCCAAGGTGTCCCCGAGGTGTCCCCGAGCTGTCCCACCTTGTTGGGCTGCGCTGTCCGGCGCAGCTCCTCGATCCAGCGGTCGCGCTCGGCCAGGGAGGCGCAGCCGAAGGAGCGGCTGCCCTCGGGGGTGATCACCTGAGGGGACACAGGGGACAGGGAGGGGACAGGGAGGGGACAACGAGGGTCTGGGTGACCTTTTTGGGATTTAGGTGCCCCTTTTTGGGGTTCAGGTGCCCTTTTTTGGCATGTGGGTGCCCTTTTTTGGGTCTGTGTGCCCTTTTTTGGGGTCTGTGTGCCCTTTTTTGGGGTTCAGGTGCCCTTTTTTGGGGTTCAGGTGCCCTGTTTGGGATTTAGGTGCCCCTTTTTGGGGTTCAGGTGCCCTTCTTTGGGGTCTGGGTGCCCTTTTTTGGGATGTGGGTGCCCTTTTTGGGGTTCGGGTGCCCTTTTTTGGGGTCTGGGTGCCCCTTTTTGGGGTTCAGGTGCCCTTTTTTGGGGTTCAGGTGCCCTTTTTTGGGTCTGGGTGACATTTTTTGGGATTTGGGTGCCCTTTTTTGGGTCTGGGTACCCCTTTTTGGGGTTCAGGTGCCCTTTTTTGGGTCTGGGTGACATTTTTTGGGATTTGGGTGCCCTTTTTTGGGTCTGGGTACCCCTTTTTGGGGTTCAGGTGCCCTTTTTTGGGTCTGGGTGACATTTTTTGGGATTTGGGTGCCCTTTTTTGGGTCTGGGTACCCCTTTTTGGGGTTCAGGTGCCCTTTTTTGGGTCTGGGTGACATTTTTTGGGATTTGGGTGCCCTTTTTTGGGTCTGGGTACCCCTTTTTGGGGTTCAGGTGCCCTTTTTTGGGTCTGGGTGACATTTTTTGGGATTTGGGTGCCCTTTTTTGGGTCTGGGTACCCCTTTTTGGGGTTCAGGTGCCCTTTTTTGGGTCTGGGTGACATTTTTTGGGATTTGGGTGCCCTTTTTTGGGTCTGGGTACCCCTTTTTGGGGTTCAGGTGCCCTTTTTTGGGTCTGGGTGACATTTTTTGGGATTTGGGTGCCCTTTTTTGGGTCTGGGTACCCCTTTTTGGGGTTCAGGTGCCCTTTTTTGGGTCTGGGTGACATTTTTTGGGATTTGGGTGCCCTTTTTTGGGTCTGGGTACCCCTTTTTGGGGTTCAGGTGCCCTTTTTTGGGTCTGGGTGACATTTTTTGGGATTTGGGTGCCCTTTTTTGGGTCTGGGTACCCCTTTTTGGGGTTCAGGTGCCCTTTTTTGGGTCTGGGTGACATTTTTTGGGATTTGGGTGCCCTTTTTTGGGTCTGGGTACCCCTTTTTGGGGTTCAGGTGCCCTTTTTTGGGTCTGGGTGACATTTTTTGGGATTTGGGTGCCCTTTTTTGGGTCTGGGTACCCCTTTTTGGGGTTCAGGTGCCCTTTTTTGGGTCTGGGATGACAGTGACAGGGGCGGTGACAGGGGAGGTGACAGTGACACAGTGACAGTGACAGTGACAGGGGAGGTGACAGTGACAGGGAAGGTGACAATGACAATGACAGTGACAGTGACAGTGACAGGGGAGGTGACAGTGACAGTGCCACCGCGCTCCCACCTTGACGTTGCCGCCGGGGCAGCTCGGGGGGGGCTCCTGGCGGGGGCTCCTCCAGTCGGGGTCTGGGGGCAGCGCTCAGCACCTCCCAGTTCATCCCAGTCCATCCCAGTATCCCCCAGTGCTCCCAGTTCATCATGTCACCCCCAGTGTGTCACCCCCCGTGTCACCCCCGTGTGTCACCCTCCTGTCACCCCCCGTGTCACCCCCGTGTCCTCACCCGGGTCCCTCCTGCCCGCTGGGGACAGGTTGGTGGCCTCGGAGGTGGCACTGCCAGCGCGGGCGCTGCTCCGCCACGGGCCCTGGGGACAGCGCGGGGTCAGGAGGGGACACTGCCACCCCTGGGGACACCTGCCACCCCTGGGGACAGCGCGGGGTCAGGAGGGGACACTGCCACCCCTGGGGACACCTGCCACCCCTGGGGACAGCGCGGGGTCAGGAGGGGACACTGCCACCCCTGGGGACACCTGCCACCCCTGGGGACACCTGCCACCCCCTGGGGACAGCGCGGAGTCAGGAGGGGACACTGCCACCCCTGGGGACAGCGCGGGGTCAGGAGGGGACACTGCCACCCCTGGGGACAGCGCGGGGTCAGGAGGGGACACTGCCACCCCTGGGGACACCTGCCACCCCTGGGGACACCTGCCACCCCCTGGGGACAGCGCGGAGTCAGGAGGGGACACTGCCACCCCTGGGGACAGCGCGGGGTCAGGAGGGGACACTGCCACCCCTGGGGACAGCGCGGGGTCAGGAGGGGACACTGCCACCCCTGGGGACACCTGCCACCCCTGGGGACACCTGCCACCCCCTGGGGACAGCGCGGAGTCAGGAGGGGACACTGCCACCCCTGGGGACAGCGCGGGGTCAGGAGGGGACACTGCCACCCCTGGGGACAGCGCGGGGTCAGGAGGGGACACTGCCACCCCTGGGGACAGCGCGGGGTCAGGAGGGGACACTGCCACCCCTGGGGACAGCGCGGGGTCAGGAGGGGACACTGCCACCCCTGGGGACAGCGCGGGGTCAGGAGGGGACACTGCCACCCCTGGGGACACCTGCCACCCCCTGGGGACAGCGCGGAGTCAGGAGGGGACACTGCCACCCCTGGGGACAGCGCGGGGTCAGGAGGGGACACTGCCACCCCTGGGGACACCTGCCACCCCTGGGGACACCTGCCACCCCCTGGGGACAGCGCAGGGTCAGGAGGGGACACTGCCACCCCTGGGGACACCACGAGGTGCCACCTGCCACCCCCCAGGGGACACCATGAGGTGCCACCCTGCCACCCCAAGGGACACCATGAGGTGCCACCCTGCCACCCCAAGGGACACCATGAGGTGGCACAGGGGACACCGCGAGGTGACACCTGCCACCCCCCAGGGGACACCGTGAGGTGCCACACCAAGGGACACCGTGAGGGGACACCCCATCACCCAGGGGACACCACGAGGTGCCACCCCCTTGGGGACACTGCAAGGTGCCACCTGCCACCCAGGGGACACCATGGGGTCAGGAGGTGCCACCTGCCACCCCCCAGGGGACACCGCGAGGTGCCACCCCCAGGTGACACGGCCGATGTCCCCGCTCACCTCCTCGTCCCGGCCCAGTGGCACCAGGTGTCCGTCCACCAGCGAGAACTGGGACACGTCCCACACGGTGGCATCGGGTGGCACCGGGGCCACCGGTGGCGGGGACGTCCCCAAGGGGGTCCCTGAGGGGACAGAGCACGGCGTGGGTGCCCACGGTGTCACTGTCACCCATGGCAGGGGACAAGGGGCTGGGCGTGCCACCAGGGGTGCCAGGAGGAGGTGACACCCTGGGTGAGGTGACACTGGGGACATGGAGGTGACAACCACGGGTGAGGTGACACTGAGGACATGGAGGTGACACCAGGAGTGAGGTGACACTGGGGACATGGAGGTGACAACCACGGGTGAGGTGACACTGAGGACATGGAGGTGACAACCATGGGTCAGGTGACACTGAGGGACATGGAGGTGACACCAGGAGTGAGGTGACACCAAGGGACAGGTGGCCACGGAGGTGCCACCACCAGCGTGGCAGTGCCAGGGGACACGTGCCCATGGGGTGACAGTGCTGGTGGTGGCAGCGTGGCAGTGACAGTGACAGTGTGACAGTGACAGTGACAGTGACAGTGACAGCCCCGGTGGCACTGTGCCCCGTGGGTGGCAGTGTGACAGTGACAGTGACACAGCCCCGGTGGCGCTGTGCCCTGTGGGTGGCAGTGTGACAGTGACAGTGACACAGCCCCGGTGGCGCTGTGCCCTGTGGGTGGCAGTGTGACAGTGACAGTGACACAGCCCCGGTGGCGCTGTGCCCTGTGGGTGGCAGTGTGACAGTGACAGTGACACAGCCCCGGTGGCGCTGTGCCCCAGGTGACACTGAGGGACATGGAGGTGACACCAGGAGTGAGGGGACACCAAGGGACAGGTGGCCACGGAGGTGCCACCACCAGCGTGGCAGTGCCAGGGGACACGTGCCCATGGGGTGACAGTGCTGGTGGTGGCAGCGTGGCAGTGACAGTGACAGTGTGACAGTGACAGTGACAGTGACAGTGACAGCCCCGGTGGCACTGTGCCCCGTGGGTGGCAGTGTGACAGTGACAGTGACACAGCCCCGGTGGCGCTGTGCCCTGTGGGTGGCAGTGTGACAGAAGCCCCCCACGCCCCCCTCACCTGTCCCCTCCTGCTCCGCCCTGGCTCCGCTGTCGCCGTGTCCCCTCCTCCTGCCCACGGAGCGCAGCAGGTACCGCTGCAGGGGTGGCTTTGTCCCCTCGTGTCCCCTCGCGTCCCCCGCTGTCCCCTGCTGTCCCCTGGGGTCCCCCGCTGTCCCCTGCTGTCCCCTGCTGTCCCCCGCACCCTTGGGTGCCTTGGAGGGGGCGGAGAACGCCCTCTGGAACAGCGAGCGCCGCGCGCTGGCCTTGGCGACACCTCTGTCGCCACCTCTGTCGCCACCTCTGTCGCCACCTCTGTCGCCACCTCTGTCGCCACCCCTGTCGCCACCTCTGTCGCCACCTCTGTCGCCAGCCCTGTCGCCGTCGGTGTCGGGGTGGCTGTAGGAGCGCTTCCAGCCCTGCAGCCGCGCCCAGCGCCGGCTCCCCGGGGACCCCCCGATCTTCTCGGGGTCCCCTCCGGGGGTCGCCGTGCGCCACTTGTAGGTCTTCAATAGGGCGGGGGGCTCGGGGGTGGCCGGGG